TCATCATCAACCAACGTCGAAATCATGGTGGATCTCGAGTCTAAAATAAAGGATTTGAATTTTTTTTTTTTTACCAAGGTTATTACGTATATAGATACGTAAAAAATAATCGAGTACGCATGGCTGAGGGCAAGGACCATGATTATTATTATTATTATTATTGGCCTGGTGTTTTTTTATTCAATTCATGCGTTATGGATTCATCATCATCATCATCATCATCGGAGGTTACTTTATGCCTGAAATCACAATGCGAAACGTTCGTTTGCCGCCGTTGCCACTGCCGCCATCATCGATTCCATCCGAAGAAAAATAAATGAAATGATTCCGGTAAGATGATGATGATGATGATGGTGGGAAAAAAAATTTTTTTGGGCACTAAAATACAAGACACAACAATCGAATGAAATTGTTCTTTTTTTTTCTAGAAATTATTTAAAGAGTTTCAGGTGATGACGATGAAATATGTCGGCGGTCAATTCGTTCGGACCTGACAGTAAACTTTGAAAAAGAAAAAAAACTAAACGAAACTTTAATTGATTAAAAAGGAAACAGCTGATTGTGAAGAATAATGATGATGATGATGATGATGATGATGAACACGTCGTTCGTTGATTATATTATTAATTCAATTAGAATGAGTTGAATGATCTTGTTCGGTATTTTCGTCGTCTGCTGTGTTTTTTTTTCTTTTTTTTCCCAAGGTCTTTAAAGTACCTTTTTTTTTTTTAAACAAAAAAAAAAGATTTTAATTTTTTTTTGTCGAGTGAGTGCGTGTGTGCGTTACGTCACTCTTAACACGTCATTAATAATTTCACTTTAATTTTCATCGTATTAATTAATCATGTACGCGTTAAAATTTAATTTAATTTTTTTTTTCTTGGTTTCTCTCTCTCTCTAATTTGTTTTTTTTTCGATCGTTTGTTTTATTTACAGGAAAAAACATGATGATAATAATGATAATGATAATGATAATGATAATTAATGTAGAAGGTAAGTTATTTTTTTTTTAAATGAAATCCTGTTGAATTTTTTTTTTAAAAGGTTTTCCTTTCTCTCTCTCTCTCTTTCTCTCTGTTTGTTTATGTTCCTCTCGATTCGTTCATCATTGTCCAAAAGGTTAGAGAAAGAGCAAAATTATTATTATTATTACTATTTTTTTTAGGACGTTTGAAACTCGGCGCGAAAATCGCAACGGAATCGATGATTATGATGATGATGGTGATGACGTAACGCATAGAAGAAAAGAAAAATGGCTGCTAATTAAATGCGCTGGTTTTTTTTTTTTTATTGCTCGTTCGTTGAGAAGGAGAAGAAGAAGAAGAAGAAGGAAGAAGAAAAACAAACAAAAAGTAGTAGTAGTAGTAGTAGTGGTGGTGGTGGTAAAGTGTGCGGTTTCGAGTCTCGAAAATCGAATCGATATCGACGACGACTTCGACTACGACTACGACGATTTTTCTTCTTTTTTATTATTATTATTAATAACGACTTACGATTTGGATTGCGATTATGATAATGAGAATGATATTGTGTACTATTTATTTTTTCTTCTTCCGCCATTTTTAATTTTTTCTTTTTCTTTTTTTTTCCAAGATTAGTTTGAATAATTGTTAAAAAGAGAGAGAGAGAGAGAGAAAGAGGAAGTTAACGCGCATGCTCGAACGATTAACAACGACAGTGCTGCTGCGCAATCGAACAAATTATGGCAAATAAGAGAGAGAGAGAGAGAAAAGAGGAAAATTTTATTATTATTTCACGAGTTTTTTAAAGAAGTGTTTTTAAAATGTCGGAGTTTTTTTTTTCTTTTGTCGGTGAGTACGAAAAATTGCAACGAAATTCATTCGCCATTTTGTTTTTTTTTATTAAACTCATCGATCTATTAATCGATCAATCAATCGATTGGAATTTTAGTTTTTTTTTTCCTCTCATTTCTCTCTCTCTCTTTCGCTCTGTCTCTTTCTCTCTCTTTTTTTTCAAACATCATCAATTGATCATGGCAAACATGTCGTCTGCTGTGCTATCGATAATGGAAAATTCTTTTCTTTTTTTCCTTTTTTTTTTGTCGTGCGTAACAGTCGATTATTTTTATTTATTTAATAATTATTATTATTATTTGTGCGGTTGTGATAATAATAATAATTATTATTTATTCTAGGCTTTTAGCTTGCGTTCAACTGCGTTTTCTTTTTTTTTTTTTACCTGCGACCTGCGACGACGAATTCCAAGATGGATGATTAAATTTATTATTATTATTATTATTGTAACTAATTTTTTGTTTTAATCGGTTTATATTTTTTTTCTTCATGTATGGGATGAAATAAGAAAAGGACACGAATTTTCGTTTCAAAGTTCCTGAGGATTTTTTTGTTTTTGCCAAAGCAGACGACACAAAAGGTAGGTGGGAAAGTTATTATTTGAAATTATTATGAATTTTCATTTACCTTCAGTGAATTATTTTCTTTCTTTTTTTTGAATAGAATTCTACGATATCGTGTAGAAAATTTTATCATCATCATCATCATCATTGTCATCGTCATCAGCACCAACACCACCATCATCACCATCATCATCACCACCACCACCATCATCGAAAACATTTAAAAAGAATCTTCGTGCACACATCTCGTGGATCGTTGTTAAAGTTGAATGCGAGGGGGAGGAAAAACATGTTTTGTTTGTTTCTTGCTTAAAACCACGAAGAAATCCTGAAAGTCTTGTTTGTAGTTGTAGTTGTAGTACTGATAATAATGATAACGAAATGTAGTTGTTAATAGTGAGGTAAAAAATGGTAAAAAAAGAAAGAAAAGAAAAGGAAAAAAAAATGAGGAAAAAATTTAAAAAATACAATTGAATCAAACGGAAAGAGGTGGGGTTTTGTTATCATCATCATTATTATTATTATTATTAATGCTCGATTTCGTAGGTTTTTTTTTAACGTTAATAATAATTATTATTATTATGTCTCCGAGTCGGAGGGAAACAATGTAAATTAATAGGTTGGGGGGTACTCGGTCGTTTTCGACTAAATTTTCTTAATTAAGCTTTACTTTATTGTGTTGTTGTTGACGGGAAAAAAAAAGAGAAAAACGTAGACGGGGGGGAGAAAGAAAAAGAGAGAGAGAGAAAGAGCAAGACAAAGAGAATATTTTTAAAAAAATGTCAAAATGACGACACTTAAGCCACCGCGACTGTTGAATTTCTTCAAAGTAACAGAAAAAAAAAAAAAATTAAAATTTATTTATTTATTTTATTAATAAGTTGGCACCAATGAAAAATTTAACATTTATTATTATTATTATTATTATTATTATTTGTGAGGCAAAGAGAAAGACAGAAAATCTCGTGAGAAAGAGAGCTTTAATTGTAATGATGATTTTTTTTGATTATTTCATCTGTCGTTCACGTTTTTGTTTTTTCTTTTCTTTGGGGAGAGGAAGGGGGAAGGGAAGAAATTTCTGACGATGAATATGACGACGACGATGTTGATGACGTTGATGATGATAATGATGGTGATGATGATAATCAGAAAAAAATACAAGGAAAAATGAAAGGAACCGTAGAGGAAAAGAAAAAACTGAAAAATTGTCATAAATTTTTTGATGATTACGTCGTCGACGAGGACGACGAGGACGACGACGATAATGATAATGATGATGGTGATGATGATGATAATGATGACGATGACGACTATAACGAATAATTGAATGTTATTTATTTGTAAAAGCGCGAAGGAGGAAACAAACGTTTAATCTGGAATTTCCTCGTCATACGCGTCGTTTCAATGACGTCAATGACAAAAATAAAAATAAATTTTTGTTCTCTTTCTCTCTCTCTCTCTTCCTTGTAATTTTTTCGGGAAGGGGAAATGGGGGTTTTTAATTTTAGAAAAATTTTTGCATTCATTCCAAATTTTATTTTCGTTATCATCATCATCACCATCAATTTATTTTATTTATTTGCTTATTTTTTTTTCAGGTCAAACGGCAAAAATAAAAGTTGCGTCAATGAAAATTTAAAAAAAAAAAAAAATAAAGAAACAAAAAAAGTTCACGAGGAAGTCAATCGTGGAAAGAAAAAAAAGAAAAAAAAATAAGAGGAAAAAAGAAACAAACAAACAAACAAGTTATTTAATAATGAAAAGAAAAACGGAGAGTGTGATACGGGGTGAACTTCGACCGCCATGATTCAGAGATAAGAGAGCGTGTAAAGATAAGGTCACGAGATTCATTCATTCATTCATTCATTCATTCGATGTCGTTTATCATTCATTCAGGAGAATTGTGATTGAATTCTTTTCCCTCTCTCTCTCTTATTCTTTTTTCGTCACGGCATAATTGTTTTACAATTATTATCATTATCATTATTATTATTTATTTGTAGCCGTTGTCGTCGTTGTTGTTGTTGTCAACAGGAATGAAATGACAAATGATAAAATTGGAAACTTTTTTTTTTTTTTTTTTCGATACGTTTGTAATTATTATCGGTCAATCTCTCCATTTTGTTTGTACGAAGATAAAAATGTAGAGTCTATTGCACTCTGATGATAAAGAAAGAGAGAGAGAGAGAGAGAGAGAGGAACAAAGAGAGAGAAAAGGAATGTCGTTTTATTATTTAATGATTTATTAATTTAAAAGAATTAAGTAGTCTAAAAAGTAGTCGAAAGATATTTTTGCGTAAATAAATGATAATGATAATGATAAATGTTAAAACGAAACGTCAAATATTATTATTATTATTATTTTTGTTATTAATATTATTATTAATACAATGACTGTAAGTTAGGACGAGTGGTGAATTTTACACTTGCTCTCACGCGCTCCCTTCCTCTCTCTCGTGAAAATTTACGAGACAAGGAAACGGAAATAATATTGAAAATGACGTAGATGAAAAGGGAGAGAGAGAAAGAGAGGGAGGAAAGATGGAAAGCAGATTGGAAATAATTGAAGTTTTCTCCGCACTTGATTTTGTGTCAAAAGGAAGGATAGAAGAAAAAAAAAGGAAAACGAAACTGGTTTTCACAATGATTTGCCAGATAGTTTTTGTTATTCTGAGATCATTGTGAAAGCTGATTTTGTTATGGAACTCCATGTGTGGAATGAAGAAGAAGAAGAAAAGAAGAAAAAATATTTAGTCTTGGATTCGGGAGAGAAGAACGTTCCAGAAAATTTTTTATGTTTTGGAACATGGAAGGAAAATTGAAAGTGCAACGTAGTAAGAGAGGAGAAGGAGAAAGAAAGAAATGTTGTCTTTATCATCATCACCACCACCACCACCACCATCATCATCATCACCATCATTCATTCGTTCATTCATTCATTCACTCACTCACTCACTCATTCATTCATTTATAATTATTATTATTGTTATTATTAATTTTATAACCATTGTTTTAAGGATTAAGATTATAACAGATTAAATATGGCGAGTTGAAGGTAATCCTTTCAGTTTTTTTTTTTACTTTTTTTTGGTTGAAAAAATATTATGTAAATTTTTTATAGCGCTGTATACAGTATAGTTTATAGTCTATATAGCTATTAAATAATAAAATTTAAATTATAGATGAAAAAATGTAAAATTTTTTAATGAAGAAAAAAAAAAAACTTCAATCAATCGATTTGAAAATACATTAGAATTTTTTATTAAAAGTTTATTTTTATTTTTTATGTACGTCTCAATTCCCCCCTCCCCCCTCGCACTCACCCCGAAGTGATTTTTTAATTATCTCTTACTTGAAGTAATAATAATAATAATCAAATGTTTTTATTAAAGAGATCGGTGACGAAAAAAAAATTTTTTTCGATAAATAATAATATTTACATAATTATATATTAATTATTTTATTTTAAAGCTCGAAAGCACGAAACAAATTTTTCAAAATGGCGTCCTTAATAATAATGATAATAATATTGCTATATTACACGATAGTACATAATTGTATATTTTATTTTATTCAAATGATAATAATGAAAAAGAAACAAAAAATAGTAATCAATTATTAAAGTTAAAATTGGACACCATTTTTTATTTTCGAAAGCTAATTCTATTTACATTTTTTATTTTACGAAAATAATAAAACAACGTCTTATCATCATCATCATCATTATTATTATGATTTGAAGGTGGTAGTAGTAGTAGTAGTAGTATCAATCACTATTATTATTATCTATAAAATGAAAAAAAAGGCATTGAAGTTCTCTTTCTTTTCGACCCTTTTTTTTTTATTATTTTAATATTATATCGAGTTGAAGATTTACGCAAATGGGAAAAATAATAATAATAATGGTGATGATAAGGGTGATAATAGTGATAATAATAATAATTTTGTTGATGTTTTTGTTTGTTGTTGTTGCAGTTGTTGCTGCGGGTAGTTTTTTTAAATAATTCAATCCTGCCAACAATTATCAGAATATCCAGTCACGTTAAAAACAGGAGGTTGTGGGGGTTCATATTGATAAGGATTTGTCCACCATTGATGATCGACGTAACTCTGATAAGCGTATATATTTGTAGAATAGCCGCCATCTTGATTTGTAATCGACGAATTTGAAGTTTTTCCGTTTCCTCTTAAATAACGAAAAGATGCGACGGATGGAGCCGACGTCGACGTCGTCGTCAATTTTGTCAGTTCTTCAAATTTTTTCTTCTTTGGTTCTGGTTCTTGGTAGATGTTTGTTGATTGTTCTGTTAAATTTTTGTATTTCTTTGTATCGTCGACGTTGTTGTTGTTGTTGTTGTTATTCGGTTGCGACGATATCGTTGTTGGCGATAAATTATTTGTTGTTGTTTTATCAGTATATTGCGAATATTCTGGATCGTAATTCCTTCGTTTACCAAAAAAAAAAAAAATATATATATGTAATAATTATAATGATAATGATAATAATAATAATGATAATAAATATGTTTACCAGTGTTGATGATTGTTGTGGAACGGGTAATTTTGTTCCGGTAAATATTGATCTAATTCAGTACCATCAAATTTATCAATCAAATTACCCTGTTGTATTTCTTCTCCAAAATCACCAACGTCGAAATATTTATTTGATGACGTCACCGCTGTTTCGGATATCGGCTGAAGGTATCCCGAAGGTGGTGGCGGCGGTGGCGGTGGCGGTGATGGTGGTGATGTTGTTGGTGTTGAATTTTTACACGATATTTTAAAATGTTTTATTTCTCCCGGGGTTGTCGGCGGCGTCGGTGGTCCCTGCATGCTACCGTGTGACAATTTAACGTCTGGACAATTGTTTGTTGAGTTTTCCTTTTTGTAAGATGATCTGTTGATGTTTCTGGGTAAATAAATAATTAATTATTAAAAAAAATTTCTTCTGCTTTTCTCTCTCTCTCTCTCTCTCGAAATAATCAATACCTGAAATTCATTGAATCACTTTTTGACAATCCCTCGTGACCGCATTTCGAACCTTTTTTTCTTCTCGGTTGATATTTATAATCGGGATATTTTTTCTTATGTACTTGTCGTAGTTTTTCCGCTTCCGTTATAAATGGTTTTTTACCTTCTTCTGATAAAGACCTGGAAACAATAATAATTAATAATTAATAATAATAATAATAATAAAATTACGCGAGACGCGTTGACGAGTGTGTTGTTGTTGCGACGCCAAAAAAAATCTCATTCGATTTATTATTATTAATTTAATATTTTATTAATAAATAATCATGATGATAATAATAATAAAAACATCCGCGTTGAATATTTTTTTATCACGGCTATGATGATAATAATAATAACAATAATACAAACACCTCCACATTTGGTGTTTGATAAGAATTTTGATGGTGGTACGTGTTAAGGCATTTGAAAAAAGGGATCAAAACGTAAAACTGGGAACCGTTTTGCGGTGGTGTTAAGGGGGATGTCGGGGTGAGGGGAAGGGAGGAAAGAGGGGAAAAAGAGTCATAAAACGATATCTTCAGCAGCTGATTATACAATTCACGCCAAATGTAAATTTTTTTTTTTTCATTCATTTTTATTTTCTTACCCGACACGATACGAGTTCCCGGTTTTTTTTATTTTTTCAAAAAAGTTTTTCACCTGCCTAAAGTAAACCGGAAATAAATTTTGAAAATTTATCGAGTCGAAATAAATAAAAAAAATTTAAAAATGACACGTTTATATATATTTTCACAATTTTCTTTTTTTTAGAAAATGACGTCATTATTATTATATAAAAAAAATGTTCGACGATTTCGTTTTGTTCTTTTCATCTTTTCAAACAATAAATAATAATTAATAAATTTGTAATTAAAATTTTAAGGAAAAAATTTTTCAGGCTGCTCAGGTATGTAATGAGTGACGTCACGTCAAAAGTGGTACAAAATGGTCGCCTGAAGAATCAAACAAAAAAAAATGGAAAAAATTAAACTCGCGAGTCGATTAAACCTCACGAGTATAATTTATTTTCTTTAAGAAAAAAAAAAAAATTTTAAACGTGTCAATAGAAACCCCCCTTCCATTCCTCTTATCCCCCTCTCCTACCCCCCAAAAAAAAAAAACGGAAAAAAAGTGTTAAATATCTTTTAAAGAGGTCATTAAAACCGATTTCGGTATTTTTTTAAAGAAACTTAAATAACCGAGTTGATGGATGAATGACGTAAAAACATGTTTTCACCTCAAAATTTTCACATCGATTCAATATAATAATAATAATATTAAACTTAATGTTTTTTCGACGTAGTCGTCGTCGTCGTCGACGTCGACGTCGAGCAATTAATTATCGTGCAAAATTTAAATTTTTACAGGTAAAAAAACGACGTTAACACTTAACTCTCAAAACCTATTAATTTTATTCCGAAAATCTTTTTTATTGTTTTTTTTCCCCCCTTCCATCGATTCTCACCGTTAATATTAATAATAATGATGATAACGATAATAATGATAATAACCCCTCATCGAAAATTCTCGTAAAATTCATAATTTTTTATTATTATCATCATCGTAATCATCATCGTCAAAACACTTATCAAAAAATTTTGAATAAATGCCATTATTTATTTACATTTGGCTAAGTATAATATTAATATAATGTTTATCATCATCATCATCATCATCATCATTATTATTATTAGTATTAGTATTATCATTGTTATCATTTGCCACTTGAAACGCAATTTTTTTGTCAACACCTGTTTTTTTTTTTTTGTCTACGATTTTTTTTTCACACGAGTTCCGATAGTTGTAATTTATTGGGGAGAAAATGAAAGGTGAAAAACGAGAGGGGAAAAGTTCAAAGGTCGCTTTAAGCGATAGAAAATATTATTTGGTAATTCGGAAGTGAATGATTTAAATAAAAATTAAATATTTTTTGTTGAAATTTGAAAAAAAAAAAAATGAAAATGAAAACGTCGTGATCGATAATTTCGGGGATTACTTTGCCCCCTACTCCCCCACCCACATTTCCCGCCAAAAACAAGGAAAAAGTTTATTAAAATTTTAATTTTTTATTCTTAGGAGAAAAAAAAAGAAAAAAGAAAAACGTCATCATCAACAGGGAAAATGAAAAATTATATGTACGTATATATTTCACTCATGAGAATATTTTCTCAGCCTCTTTTAATAATTTCTTTTCTCTCTCTCTTCCCTCTTCCTCTCTTTCTCTTTCTTCTTTTTCTTCGGGATTCATAAAAACGTATAAAAAAAAAAGAAAAAGATGTTATTTAACCAAAAGCGAAAATGAGTCAATCACGAAAATGCATTTCATTTAATAATAAATGGTATTTATGAAGTGTGAATTCCGTCAGGGGGCACACCCCTTCACAAAAAAAAAAAAAAAAAGCCGCTCAAGTGGTTCACGATCATCTGCTAATGCTTATACGTCAGCCTAAATGTCAGTCATTGTGGGGCAGGAGAGTGAGTGGGGCCTAACCCGTTATGTCAATACATTTTCTTCTTCGGCCACGGCGGCCACTTGATATTTTTTCAACATCCGACACTTTTTTTATTTACGCGATAGTTTCATTTATTATTATTATTATTATTTCTTGC